ACTGGAATTTATTACAAGTACATAAAAATTCCTAACCTGAGCCCTGAGGAGTCATGAACTTTACCGATAAATATTTTGGTTCGCGGGGAAGAGCAACGCTTTTTCTGCCAGATTCTTTCGTTTTATGAAAAATCGTCGATTGAGACGATTACACATGTTTACACTGGTTTATACGTTTCCCAGCGGCCATCTTCAAATGAAGCGGCGTCGTGATTGGTTCTACAATAAGCCAGCATGAAATCAAGCAAGAAAAATAGCACCGGTTCTATCACGAAAATCCAGTGGATCAGCCAACAGCGGGGCCTGCAAGCCATACAATTTCCAGCATAGCAGCCAGTCAGATTGCCAGCACAGTAGCACGCAAGCAATCCAGCAGGAAAAAAAAGCATCGTGTGCCGCTGGCTTAAAATCCACTTAAAAAAACAATGAAATTAAGTTTATTCGACGCGTTTTTGTATGAAACGGAAGAAATCTGGCAAAAAAAAGCGTCGCTCTGCCCCACGAACCAAGATATTAAGCGTTAATAAAAAATAAACCGCTGATTGTTGCGTATAGGCATAAACGGCGCGTACGTAAAACGGTGGATCATCGGTGATTGGTCGGATCCTTCGATACGCGAATACGTGCGTACAGTGATACGCGTCATGGGACGGCACCCTTACGTTCTTGTATGTGTCATGGGCTTAATTGTCGGAAGTAGTCGACATTGAATTCGACATTGAACGCCGATAAAGTAATTGCTAATCATTTCCCTTGTAATCATGTTCCTGTCGATGATGAGTCAGCCCGGATCCTCACACGGGCAATAGCGCTTTGACACAGAGCGCTAATTGGTGAAAAGCCGGTTGTGGGGGTAAAATTTACCCCCATCACCCATTTTTCATCAACCAGCGTGCGGTGTTAAAGCGCTGTTGCCCGTATGAGGATCCGGGCTCATGCTTCCTTTGGCTACACATAAAAAAATTAATCTATTTACGGTCAGTCTATTTAACGCGATTAATCTATGGACAACTCGTGGGCGGAAAAGTGGGGCAGGGAGTTATGAGAAGGGGGAACAGGAGGCGTGACTCAAGGTAGAGTTATCACGGCTGATCACAGCGGACATTTGTCAGAAGAGTGCAAACGAACCTTCAAACAGTAGCCTTGTTTGGAAGACATCCCCTGTGATTGTTCTTGCGATCGTCTCCTGTGAAAATCGTCATTCGTAAGCGCGATGGAGACGTATGAGAGCGTCCTCCTGGTAAAATCCGAGGTGTTTGTCTTCAAAATTCCACCAAGGTCGACCAACAGGGGTTATCGGTAAGCGCGAGACGCCTCTTCACGCGACATTTCACTGGGCTGTTCAATATGTTATCAATGACGGATCCATAGTTTCACGTAAAGACAACATTCAAGTCGCTCAAATAAAATAAAGATAGTATATATTAAAGCACGTCGATGGTGCATTTTCCATGTTTCCGGAATCGATGCGATAATCTCAAAATTTACATTCTGTCACAGGGCAGCCGATTGGAACCTACAGGAACCCTCCTGGACCGGACGCATGCGATTGGTGTCGCAAGGCGACAGTATCACAATAAAGCTGGAAGATAAGATCACGGGTGAACTGTTTGCCAAGTGTCCTATTGAGCAGTATCCTGGGATAGCGGTAGAACCAGTCACTGACTCATCTAGATACTTTGTTCTGAGGATCCAAGACGACAATGGACGGTCAGCGTTTATAGGTGTCGGCTTCTTAGACAGGTCTGATAGTTTTGATCTGAATGTTGCTCTTCAGGATCACTTTAAGTGGTTAAAAAATCGGGAGCAGATAGAGAAGGAGAAGGAAAAGCCAAAACAGGAATTGGATCTCAGATTTAAAGAAGGCGAAACTATCAAGATTAACATGAAGATTACCGTAAGGATGTTTTATCATATATACGTATTTCAGATCTGTTTTGATAAATTTGCTGTTATTCTCTAAAGTGTCGATGTTTCTTTAAATTAAAATTAAGAAAATATTGTTCTAAAATAATTAAAAGGAAGGTGTAATAGAAGAAAATATTATCATTTGTATGTCTGTGTCCAATAATTATTTCTTCGATCTTTAAATGATTTTTAGGAATACCCTGATTTTAATTTTCTATTAATATCCTTTTTAATCTTTTTAGAACTGGATGTGATATGATTCAACATGAAAAGTCAGATTTTTTAAATTAAGGACATTAAGGATCTTGATAAAATTGTCTTGCTGAATATGCATGGCCCAATTTTAAAATAATTTTTTTACATACTTGTCACTTAGAAAAAAGATGGCAGCGAAGTTGCTTCCAAATCCAGACAACGTACCAATCCAGCTGTAGGTTTACCGCCTCCTCCAGGTGGTGTCAAGATTGCTCCACCACCGGCAAAGACTCCTACTTCCTCACCGGCGCATAAGCCATTACAAAGTCAAAATCAAGATGTTACGAGTTCAGAGTGGGGCGAGTTTGCTAGTGCTTCTCAATCAGCATCAGCACCTGCACCTGCATCCACAGTGGCCAATGCCAGTTGGGTACAATTCTAACTTTTAAAATATATGTATATAATATTATACATAGATATTTTACTTTAGTATATACACATAGTGATTTTGAAATGGATGGTCAAGCTTTAGAAACATATTCTACTTGTCTCTAGAATTTACTGAAAGTCAAATTTTACAGTAGTGACTATCTTAAATAGTCTCGATGCTATGGACAATTAAAATCATTAAAAATTTTTGATATTAATGAATGTTGATAAATATTATCTTAATTTTTAAATTCCTGAACTGATAATTTGAGACTGATTATTTATTGGCATACAGTGTTAATATATAATATTAAACAACGTGCATGTTTATATAAACTTGCAAAACGTTTTCTTGAAATTCTAGGAGAATGTTTTCAGATTTGTGCTAATATAATCTTTTTTTTTTTTCTCAAACTGGAATATAAGTATCTAAAATTTAACCATTTATGCTAAAATCATTCTTGTATATTAAAGTAATTGAAATAATTGATTATATATGTACACACATATGACATGATAGACGTATTAAGCTAGAGATTTTAAGGTGATTATTGAAAGGATGTCTTTATGAATAATGGAAGAGAGTCTGATGTATATTTTCCAATACTATATAGCGTGCAATGAAAATTATAGCAACATTCGTCAAAGGGGTTATATTTTTCCAGTGAAAAAAGAAGTCTTAGCAGAAAAACTTTAATATCAAACTTGTCTAAGAAACATTTTTTAAAAGATGACTCAAATTATCGATTAAAATTTATTTTTAGAGATATAATATGTTTTCTCTTCGGGAAAAACTACGATTTATATGAAAAAGTTTTACTTTGCAAATTGATTTATATTTTTTTATTTTTTAATAAATTGCCCTCTTCTCGATTGTTGTACGATTCTCCAGCACCCTATATAATAGTATTGTACTTATAAATACCGTTCACTCAAAAACGCATCTCAATTGCTTTTGGACATTCAGTGTATTTGGAGATAGCATAACATAATTTTTTGTATGTGTAAATGTCGATATATATCAGATGCATTTAGTGCCTTGTACAAACTAGTCCAATAAATTAGGGGCAAATTCGAGGCAGATTGCAATAGTTAATATATGTGTATTTAGTACTTACAGAGGCACAGTATGACATTCAATTTATCCATCTTATTTTCAAATATTATCTATAATATATGGAATGATTTCTTTTCGGTCTAATTTTTATGACTTTTCTGTGATCGGCTGTAATAAAAACGATTTATTCTCAGCATTCAGTAATGATTTTAACTAATTTAACTATTTCTTGCACAGAAAGACTTAATGAGTACATATTTGTGTATCTGCAAATTTTACAATGATATCTTTGTTTTAGTTAAATATTTTATATAATTTGCTTTATAATTTGAACATCGTATAATGCGTAAAATATTGGTAAGTTGAAAATGCAGTCTTTTTATTAGATATATTATTCAATATATATTATTCAATATATATTTTATTTATTCATTATTATGTTAATTAATACTTTTTAAAAGCACTAAGGAAGTCACAAACTTCCTAAAGCTTTTTGTTATTTATAAATCATTAAATTATTTCTTTTATACATAAATTATAATTTTTATTTCAGGCTCTTCCGACGAAACAATTTTGCAAAGTATCAACGTATCATTAATATATTTTGCAAAAATTGAGCAAATATAAAAAGAGAATATTACTTTATCAATTAAAATTAATGTTTTAATAGATTATAAATTTTATAGTCAAATTTAATGATATTTAGTTAATTTTCCCAATGCTAACGTCTTAATTAACATACATTTACAGTATTTTCTATTGCGTAGACATGTTTTATTGATTATTCAAGAAAGTATATAATACATATCTCCAATATATATAATAACAAAATAAATATTTCGCCTCGACCGTTAGCTTGCAACATTTGTAAATATTACAAGGCCTATTGTAAAAATAAGGCCTGATTCCCTTATACATTGAGTGTCCATAAAGTTATTTATTCAATTTTAATACATTTGAGCCTTCCCCCCCCCCCGGTAGGTTTTTCATTGAAATAGCAGCAAGTCGCGTAAATTACGTTTTAAATTCACTCTTGTCTCTAAGCTAGTCCGTTTTTCGTTTCGCATGTGTTAATTGATAAATTCTTGCCCGAAAAGCTTAATCAAGAGAAAAATATTCAATGATATACAAAAGAAGTATTTTCACATTTTTATGTATTTCCCAATATGTTTTGTTCCAATCGCGATTGGGAAATTATATCTCGAATTTTATATAAATTACGTATTAGATCTTAAATAATATTATTAAATTAATTAATCTTCTGTTCAATAAACAGTAGAAATAGATAAAAATAAATTTTCGTCTATGTTCGAATTAAACTTTACTTTTTTTTTAAATCTTTAAGAGTAGTATTCGTAAACAATTATTTTACATCTACATATCTTACAAGCATTATGTATAAGTTATTATTGAAGGGATGTTATGCCGAAAATGTTTCAACACACGTCTGAGAAATATATGTAAAAAATTTCGACATAAAGAGAAATAACTGTCTCTTCGAAAAGATAGAGAATTTACTATACTATCTATTCTCGTTAATTAGATCACAAATTGTACAATGTTATTTACATTATCTCATGCTAAATTTTAATGTAAAATGTAGAATAATCTTGTTGAACATATTGTTAGTGTGAATCTTGTTGAATGAGTGTTTAGATGCAATTTCATATTATATATTTTATTTCTTTTTATTTATAGGAATTGTCTCAAAAAGGTGCGAAGTGTCAGCGAAAAATAAGAATAAGTTGTATACATGTTAGCATCGAATCAAAGAATTATTAATATTCAACGTTAAATGTAAAAAAAGAAAACTTTTATATCATACATAAGAAATATTCTTCGAGTAATAATAGTTAAATGTACATGTAATAAATGTTATTTTTAAGAACTAGATCGATACAGATTTGTTGATATTAATGAAAATTTTGTTGCAGAAATAGATATTAAAATACCTAAGAAACAAATCATTCAATATTACAAACAAAATAATTAAGTAAAAACCAGATTTTTATTTCAGAAATAATCTTAAATTTCCTTAAAAATTATCAATAATTTCAACAAATATTTACCATTCCGAATATTAGTAATAAAAGTAAATACATACTTACGTATAATATATATTCAAATGATTTTTCGTCAACAGAATTTTTTTCAATAAAACAAATTTTCAGAGTAAATGATAGAAATTCTACCATTTATTGTAAAAATTCTTTATACAGGGTGGACCATCTGAAGTGATCCAGTCAAATATCTCGAAAACTAGTAGGGATAGAGAAAAATGTTTCGTATGAAAAGTTTAGGGTTACACGG